CAGTCTCAATACTGATGCCAATCATTTTCCAGTCTCAGTACTGATGCCAATCATTTGCCAGCCTTAGTACTGATGTCAATCATTTTCTTTTCCAGTCTCAGTACTGATGTAAATCATTTCTTTTCCAGTCTCAGTACTGATGTAAATCATTTCTTTTCCAGTCTCAATACTGATGTAAATCATTTCTTTTCCAGTCTCAATACTGATGTAAATCATTTCTTTTCCAGTCTCAGTACTGATGTAAATCATTTCTTCTCCAGTCTCCATACTGATGTAAATCATTCAAGAGTCTCTCATTTGAAGCCTATGACTCTTGTTTCCCCAGTTGAGTTATAATCTCTTCCCCTATGTGATTACTGTGCTTGGTTTCTCTAGCAGTAGTTTGTCTCATACAACATCATTCCTCATTAAATTCAAAATATTACATTCATATCAGATCATAAACATAATTATGGTATCTTAAGGCCAAAAATTGTGTATTCTATATTTAAGTCCCTTCAATCTCGTCGAAATGAAGATCTCAATCTTCATATCTCCAGATAGAAGAAACTTAAATAGGGGCAGCTGTCATACCCCAATTTTTGACCTAAGATCCCATTTTTTCATTTTTATACAAAAGTCAAGGTCACTAGATACAGTCGGTTTTAACCTCTCATCTTCGAGCATTGATTATGCAGAAATTGTCAAGTATTTTGAACATTCTTAGCCTATGTATCACTAACTTCTAATCAAGCACGAAATGTGTGTTTTTTGTTTCTTTGATTTCATGTGCTGACAGGTCTCCTTCGATTCAGCCTGCTTCGACTGGACAAGTTTACTGCCTGCAAGCCTGCTTCGATTGGACAAGTTTACTGCCTGCAAACATGCTTCGATTGGGAAACATTGCTTCCTTCGAACACGGGCTTTCGATTGGGCAAAATGTTTGTTTCGACCCACATGCTTCGATTGGACAACATTGTTTCCTTCGAACACGGGCTTTCGATTGGGCAATATGTTTGTTTCGATCCACATGCTTCGATTGGGCAACATTGCTTCCTTCAGTCACAAGCTTCGATTAGGCAATACAGTCTCCCTTCAGTCACAAGCTTCGATTTGGAAATACAGTCTCCTTCAGTCACAAGCTTCGATTAGGCAATACAATCTCCCTTCAGTCACAAGCTTCGATTTGGCCATGTAGTTTCCTTCGAAGTGACCCCCTTTGATCCACAAGCTGGACATGTGATTTCCTTCAAGGTGGCCTCCTTAGATTCACAAGTTGGACCACTAAACCCTTCGAAGCAACGTACTTAGAACACACATTGTTTGGAAACGAACATTTTTGTGTAATCATGAAGCTGGTCGAAGTGATCAAAATAAAAGGAGGGAGTATTCAAGGAGTTTGTTGACTAAAGTCCCATATACTGCCAAACTCAAGCCAGCTGTGCTTCTATGCAGCAGTCCTGCACCAACCTACCACTAAGCTCTAAAATACTGATAAGCCTGCGTTGTCTCAATCCTGTACTTGCACAAAAAAGGAGTGCACAAGAGCTGCATTGAAGAAAACAAGGGGGCAATATACCCAAATAATTCAAATATTATTTGATTTCCCCCTAAAACCATATCAAAGCTCGCCTATAAATAAGAGGCTCCAACACATATTTTTGAGAGGATTTTTGGACCAGAGGAACGAATCCTCCAAATTTTCTCAAACACAATAAAATTCTCAAAGTTCATCAACACTTGAGAAATCACAAAAAAACCCAGAATCACATTCATCTCCTTCGACTCTGAAGAACAACCACACTTCAGTCTCCTTCGAATCAAAGAAGTATCACACTTGCTTTTTCCTTTTCCTTCAAATCCAGCGCTCCAAGCACATCCTGTGACCCCTCTTTCGAATCCAGCATCCAGGGCCACCACTCAAGGTCCCACATCCATTCAAGGCCTGAAGTAAGGTAAGTCACTCTTACCCTTGAATTTTTCGTTTCATGGCATACCATGTAAATAATCTTTTTGTTCGTTTCAAGCATGTATATACCACTGTTCATTTCGTTTCCACCCTGTTAACATGTTTTTAAAAGTTAACCCTTTCGTTTTGCTTTCTGTTTACCTGAACTAGCTTTAATTATTAAACTGTTTGAAAGATAAATACTAGCATGGCCTGAGGCCATGTTGTCATTTAGTGCTTGAAATGAAAGAAACAGGAAATAGGAAATGAAGCTTCTGGCTTCTACCCCATTTCTCCAGGTCGAACGAAAGAGACAACCAGGAGGCAAACCATGTCCAATCGAAAGACATTCCCTCACTGCTTTCAACCCCCAGTCGAAGAAGGCAACAAGGAAGAATCAAAAGACTTTACCATACACTGACTGCCAGGCCAATCGAAGGACAGAACCTCACTGGTGCGAACTCCCAGTCGAAGGATACAACTTGCTGCTGCCTTTTCCCAATCGAAGGACAGGACCTCGCTCCTGCCAAGGCCCAATCGAAAGACGTGACTTTGCTGTTGTCAGCCCCAATCGAAGGAGGCCAACAGAATGCAGGTCGAAGTGTGCTACTGCCTGGGTCGAAATACACTCTTTTTTCTTACTTTTATCGTTTTTTCCTTCATATTTTTTATGTCTTTTGATACGGTTGTAATAGGGTAGCACTTTATCTTTCTGCATTTTTATTTACTTTGTACAAATGCTAGTAATTAGGCAAGATAAAATCAACAAGTAAACAAACCAAAAAAATCCAAAAAAAACACTCTTTAATCATTACTTGAATATATCTTAAAACTCACAAAACACTCAACAAATCAAAACTCCCCCCAAGGGCATGTTATCTCCGTTCTACCGCGATACTGGCCGTGCCTATTGCTAGAATGTGTGCTTTAATATCGCCCACTAAAAAACACAAACAAATCAACTTTTTTCTAGAGGAACTACGGTGTTTTGATTCCTTCATTGGATACGTAGGCAAAGGGTCGCGAAACCCTCACGAACGCAATAATAAAAACTCATTTTTTCCCTTAAGCAAACATAGTTGTAGATAAATACACTCTTGTATATAACAAACAATTTTAACCAAAAACAGATATTCCAAAAGGTTCCTGCGGAGTACCGCAGATGCATTGGGTGCTAATACCTTCCCATTATATAACCAACCCCCGAACTCTTGATCTCTTTCAAAACGCATTGTATTTTCATTACTTTTTAGTATTATTTTACATTGCATATTTTAGGGTTTTATTTCGCTCTTTTCCCTTTTCCCTTGGAAATAATAAAGCGCGGTGACGACTCTTGCTTATTTGTGAGTCAAGTTAATCAATAGCTTGATCTTCGATTTTCACCGCTACAGCCATAAACCAAAATTACTTGTTCTGTCGAACCGAGTCACTTAGAATTCTGCACCTCCAAGATTAAGCGTAATTTGATACCAACTGTTAGAATAGTAACACAAATACATATCAGAGTAGAGAGAAACATACAAAAACTTTATTCACAAAGTTCAGCCAAATTGTCTACATCTGTGACTATAGAGTAGTTATAGCTTCCTTTATTTATGTCTCATGAATTTCATTGAATTACATTGTTACAAGCCATATATATAATACTAGGATTTAGTTTATCTAAAACCTTAATCCCTAGTTTCCATCTGCAAACCATAATCTCTATCTATAATTATCTCAACAATATGATATAATTATCTCAAAAATCAATAACTATCTCAACAATATGAGTTATACTCTCAACAACCCATAGTTATCTCAATAAACCATTATTATCTATCTGATATGAGTCATATTCAACATGATAGAACACTTGTTTGGTATTAACATTGATAAAACTAGTTATAAAAGCTTATACAAACTTGTTGATAGAAGTTGAAGCTCTCAAATTTAGAATCTGATCATGATTCATGACTCCCGTGATAATAATTTTTTTAGAAAATTTAGCACACAAAAAATAGTATCAGATTTCAAAATGGTAAAATTGACTTTAACAAAGATATTCTTCAAGTTAAACAAAAGGACTATATGGTATCTACTTCTTCAAGGAGAACATGTAATCTTCAATTCACGAGTTTACAATTATTAAATATTTTGATATCAAATGTCGACATCCTCATGTACCTAAAATTATACAAGCTAATTGGCATTTTCCTAATTATAATTGAATTAAGTACAACACAAATGGAATTTCAAGAGGAAACCTAGAATACCATCTCGTTATGGCAAATTTAAGATAATTTATGAACATTCTTGGGAGCTTTCTCTTATAAGATTGGATTGTGAACCTCCTTTCAAGATGAACTGCATGGAATCATGTTTACTATCGAAGATGCTAACATGGAGAATTGGAAAAATCATTGACTTGAATTTGGCTCAATTCAAGTCATTTGTGCATTTTCTAATGTGAATATTGTTTATTGACATATTTTAATTAAATTTACACACTATACACTCATTTAGATTCAAGATGTCTCACTTTCTTAAAGAGGACCATACATGTGTAGATAAATTAGTAATGCAAATTTTCTTATTGATTATGACTCTTGGTGTAATTCACTTCTTTTTTGTATTTTTGAAAGTTTTTGAATGATATTTGGACATGTCTGACTATCATTTCTATTAGTTTTTTGATGGATTAGAACTTATATCCTCCATTCTTTTAGTTTTTTATTTAAGAAATTATCTTTATTAAAAATAATAATATACATTTAATTGCATTCCCTTACTCTCTCTTTTGACATTTCAGCACTTTATTAATTGATTTTCTTCAAGTTAATAAGATGATAAAAAAAAAAATGAAGTAAAATAAATAACTAAATCTCGTACAAAATGTCTTCTTTATTCATTATTGTATATAGTAACTATGTTGGTTGAAAACTTAAAGTATATTTCTTCACTTAAACAAATTTGTAATGATATTTTGTTGTAATATTTAATTATCATAAAGTATGATATAACATAAATTAGTAACAAAATGAAAAATTGAATCCAAATTCTATATCATCTTTGGACTAAGATTTATTCATCAAATAGTTTGATCAACCTGAGATATCATCTCCACCAAATCCAACTCCTTCTTAACTTCAATCTCAGTCTCAAATTGATGTTCATCAAGATTAACAACTTGCATGCTTCCCTTATTATCACATAGTTTTTGATCAAATTCTTTCTCAACCATTCTTGGAACACTTGCCATATCATCTAGCAGAGAATCAATACCACACCCTTCTTCAAACAAGTTATCATCCAAACAAAAATCATTAAACTCGTAGTTCGGCACTGATTGGTCATTGGGACAAAACTGATTCATGATCTGTGGTTGAGGAATTTGTTGTATTGCTTCTTTGCTTGTGCCACAAGCAATGGTTTTCTTAGCATTAGAAGACGATTTTTTTCGAAAGTCTCTTGGAGGATTTTGCTCTAAGTTCAAGCTCTTGATATATTCCTGCAGAAGTGTGCCTCTAGGATACTTGGACCGACATTTTCTTTTCGAATATTGCCTTCTCTTTGTTGCATTCCAATGGTTTTTTATTGAGTTTTCAGTTCTTCCAGCCAATCTTTTTGCAATTTCTGCCCATTTATTTCCTATCTCGGTATGAGCTTGAATCAATATCTTGTCCTCTTCATCAGTCCATATATCTTTCTGCAAAAACACGCAAATTAAAATTTAATATAGAAGAAAAAAATCCGTAATGAAAAACTTAATTATAAATAAGAGTGACTATCTTTAAAAACGTGTAAGACAGACTACTGCACATGATCTAAAATTTGTCAGAGTTAAAACGTAAATATTTATTATAGTTAAATTCTATTTAAAGAAGACCTCTAAAAACTTGGAATGACTATGTAAGTAGATGCGTGAAAATAAAGTGTTGCGCGCGTGAATGCATAAACACCTTAATGTCAGGCTTTAAATGGTTATGCCATCTTTCTCTGCATTGTTTCCCTATTCTTCCAGGCAATCTCTGAGCAATATGAGACCACTTCCTCATTCCATATTGTTCCACCATTTGAGTCAACATTCTGTTTTATAGAAACATTCAAATCAAAACATGAATATATATATATATATATATATATATATATATATATATATATATATATATATATATATATATATATATATATATATATATATATATATATATATATATATATATATATATATATATATATGCAAAAAGTAGAGTTGTGTTAGAAAAATTAGATAGTACCTATCTTCATGGACGGTCCATTGCCCCTTCACTATGTTTGATTTCTTCTTCGCTTTAAACACTCTTCTCGTGGTGGGAGATAGTAGCCTGTTGTTTCTATTCAAATCACTTCTTTGATAATAACTTGTTGGCGCTATGCTTGAGACCTCATCATCTGGTACAACATAGTTCAACGGTTTGGTTTCGGAAAGATTATTAAATGGAAAATAGCTTTGGTTTTCAACCATAAGATCAAGATGATTCCTTCTAGGAACATTCAAACCATAACCATCATATTGAAAATTATCATTAAAATGAGCATGTTGATTACTACCATTATTATTCTCCGCAAAAGACTTGTCACTATAAACTTCAAAACCTGTATTTGCACATTGTTCATTCCCAAAAGGATCAAAACTTTGAGTCTGGACCCCAAAAACTTGATTACACGATGAAGAGCCATGCACGTGAAACTGATCAATATGTTGAAAATCTTGCAAGAAATTACCCTGAGAGGAATGAGCATCAAAATTAACAAGCTCATCTTTCATCTTTGGTTTTAAGTAGTTTTCTTGCTCTTGCAAGTGCATTGGTTGTGATGCATAGTTTTCTCTGAGATTTGTCTCAAGAACATTGACAGAATTATTAGGTGTAACAGAAACTAGTGAAGGAAACATTTGTGTTACAAATTAATAGATTATAGTAAGACTTTATTTAATTGCCATATTTGTAACTGCTACTGAAATTAATAGATTATAGTTACAAATTTACAATTTAAGCAAGTATAATTAACATTAACGTTATGAAACTTACTTAGCTAACTATTATTATATAGTCAAATTTTTCTCTGTCAATAGATTTTATGTCTAAAGGTATACAAAATGCATACTAACAATGGTCGTCATTTTGAGGCATACAAGTGGACTACCTTGCATAATTTTAAAATTTAATTATAATTAAACCGTAATTAAATAAAATCTCTATAGTTATTTTGATAAGGTCGAGTCGTGATGGTTTCAAATATTTAAAACAATTGTGTATGTGAATGTCACATGTCCATGTTTATAATGTTTTTCTTTTACAAGTTTTTTTTTTGACAAGACCATGTTAATAATGTTAAATTATGATTTAATTAACTTTTTGTATTTTTTTTTTCTTTTTGTAGCAAATGAAATAATCAGTGTCACTTGTACATAGTACACTAGTAATATATTATTACAATAAAAATGAAGTTTCAAGATTTGAAAGTTCATAATTATTATGTAACATATCAATTACTTCATTCAATGTGTAACCTACACCAAAAAAATTTAAATTAATTAGGCTGAATTTGATGGCTTCTAAATTGGGTAACAACACATCCTATGCTGGTTTGATACTCTTCCTTGGTGGCTCAATTTGTGCTTACTACTTTAACCTAATAGGTGTTGGAATTTAGATATGAGTAATTAGTCTCAGTGCTATTACTAATAGAAGAAGTAATTAATATATAAAACGAAATTTTTAACTACAAGAAAACTCAGTTTTTTGCATCCCTCGCAACTCCAAAAATCACCTCACAAAGTCAAATTTTGGAAGGGGTCAAATTACTTTGCTATAGACACTATAGATGTCATTGTAATTTTTTTGTTGGGAGATTAATTCCTCACAAAATTGTTGAGAGATTAGTTAACTAACACGCAAAGAAGCAGCAGTACAGCAGAATTGGTGATGTGACACATTTTGCAAATTGTAAATATTATATAAAAAATTATAATAAGCATATTATATTAAAAATTAAAGTTAAAATTTATTTTAAATTTAATAGCTCATTAATTATAATAAAAAAACATTATAATAAATTTTATAATAATATAATGGAGGAAATGGTTTTTTAAAAAATATTATTATATAAACAGAATATTGTCAGGTTTTAAGTATGAAAAGGCTAAAGTCCCACATTGATTATGAATGAAAGAAATGTTAGGTTTATAAGAGATGTGACTCACACCTCACTGTCTTAAAGTTTTGTGTGAATATGTGGCGTCAAGTCTCTTGGAACTATGAATATTTTACTTGCTGACACTTTTAGGCCTCACTCCTCGGACTTCTCCAACTCTGGTATCAGAGCTCTGGTTGACTTGGTGACGAGCAGAAGTGGATCCTAATGTGGTCAAGACTAGTGATGTGGGTGACTCACGCTTGTGGGGGAGATTTTGTCGCGGCGAGAAAAATTGAGATTAAACTATTGATTAACTTAACTCGAAAAGACAAGAGTCGCCACTGAACTTTATTATTTTCAAAGGAAAGGAAAAATATCGAGAAAATCTAACGCAAAAATAAAACAAAAGAGAGATCTGAATACGAGAGTTGATTATCTAAGGAGAAGGTATTAACACTCATCACATCTATGGTACTCCATACGAACCTCTTTAAAATTTGTGTTATGATAAAAATCGGGTTGTTTGCAAAAAGTTTGGGGAGATGACAAAAGAAGTATTTTGTTATGTTTTTATTTGTCAAGATTTCGAGAGCTTGTGCCTACGCATCTTCATATTGCAATAAAGAAATCAGAGTCTCGTAGTTCATGATAAAAACTATGAAAACTTCTTGATTGATTTTAATTGAAAATACATTTCGTCGTATTCAAGTGAAAAACACAACTTACTACCCACATGTATGAGGAATGAGCATTAGTGTCATCTTGATATGGAGAACTTTTACTTGAATTTTCTCACAAACACGTCTCAACATTCAAGTGGAAAATATCAATCACTTCACAATATCTTGAAGAAGTATAGTGGATTGCATCACAACTAGATTAGACTAATATCTAATATTTTGAAAATGTTTTAAAAGAAAAGTGCACAAAGGCACAAAAAGAAATTTGATGAAGTTGATCTTTTTTAGAAGTTTTAAAAAGAGTTTGAATATGCTTAAGTGTTTTAGCATTTATTAGGAAAAAAAGATTTTCGGGATCACTTGACAAGGTCAAGATTTATTATGAAAGATTTAAAGTTTGAAATAAAAAGTTTTTTAAAATAGGGGGAAGACTTGAAAATTGAAGAAATTGGTAGGAGATGAAGAGACTATCCTAAAGCATAAAGTAAAGGACGTGAAATAAAAGGTCTCATTGTAAGGTATCTCAAGAGAAAGTCTTTGTGAGTGCAAGTGAACTAATCACAAGATAGAGCAAGCATTTGACATTAGTTAAAATAAGCATTCCTTTCTCTTTGGATCGAGCCACAAGATAAGCAAGCACCTATGAATACCAAGAGATCCAGATGAAAGTCAAAAGCACAAATTCACATAAAAAATTCCAAGTCTTGACACAAAGATCAAAGAATAAGACCAAGTATTAATTTGAAGATCAAAAGTTCAGATGAATCTCAACGTCTCATATACAACTCCGAGCAAAGGGGAGTACTAAGTCTAAGTCTAAAGTCCAAATTACTCCTGAAGTAATGGATAGTAACACAAAGTCCATAAGATTTTTTAGGGTCTTTGTCATTTTATTAGATATTTTGGTTTTTTTTGGAGAAAATAAGGTAATAGAAGCAAAAAGATAAAGACATAAAGTAAAAAAAAGCAAAATAAAATTGCAAGAATGTAAATGACATAAATGTAAATGACATAAAATTAGATTGTAATAAAAGTAAATGACATAAAATAAATGTTAGCACAATTAATATATCAAAGTTAGTGTTAATGAAGAATTGACTGAGTCGGGACAATTTAGCGCTATGTTAAGCAATTGTAAGTGTACTTATGTAGAAGTCATACTTATGAGAGGCCGGTCAATAACAATTTGTGTGTCATACATGTTAGAGAGATTATACAAAACCATCATTCTAAAACAATTTAACACAAGTCAAAACAAAAGTAAAAAAAGAAGAAAATGAAGAGAAGGAGAACAAACACTAAGACAAGGTATTGTCTATCATCACGTTCAATCACTCTTATTCATGATCCGATGGGATAAACGTATCATCAATCCAAAGTATCAAATATGATCAAATGATCATTTAATGATAAGTTTGAAATGATGAAAGTATGTGCAACCAAGGCATCATTCAAAGATCAATTGGACAAGATGAAGCATCAATCAATCAAATATGATCTAGGTCAACAAAAGTTAAAACCAAAATGAATTAAAAATGATAAAAAAATTTAAAAATAGTTTTTAAAAAAGTTTTAAAATGGAAATTAAATGAAAAATTCAAAAGATGCATTAAAACATCAAATAAATGTCCAAAAAAAGAGAAAATCAGAAATATTACAAGTAATCACCTCCCAAAAGTTAGAGTAAAAAATGTTTTAAAATGATTGAAAATAAATTGTTGAATGAAAATTAAAATAAAAATAAAAAGAAAATAGAAAAAAATGCTAAAAATGATATTAAAAATCTGAAGGGAAAAAAAAACATATGTGATTGAAAATATTTTTATTGATTTATAGAAAAAAAATTGGAGTTAAAAATGTCAAAGGACTATTTAAAATAAATCAGAAAATTTGAAGAAAATGAAATGAATTAAAAAAACAAAAAGAAATTAAAGTTCAAACGGCTAGCACACGTGTCAAGGTTTCTTTGGCCAGAGGATTTGAATTTCCCTCAATAGCGTGCGAACGACTTCGTCTTCAATCTTGAGTTGATTTTTGCAGAATCATGAACTTAGAGTTTTAAGCTCAAACAACACACGTTTAATGTAACATACTAAATTCTCCGCATAAATATAATTAAAAATATAAGAGTTATTTAAAACAATTCAAACATTTAGGATGCCATATTCTTTCATTCAACATACTCATGCAATAGGATACATAACACATTTAGAACATAAACCACTTTTTGTCATATTCGACATTCAATAACTTTATTAGCAGCGGAAAACTTCAACAACAATTATTCTTAACTCCTCAACATGAGTTACAATCATAATTATTCATATTTAACATAAATTATCAATTAAATCCAAAAATCAGAGTTACACATAAGTTTACTCCCAACATAAGCAAAACAAACGTTATCCCACCAATATTACATATCATAGAATACACCGACTCAATCTATGCAATACGAGTCAATCCCATCGACTAACCTCGATCCTGAGCTACTCCTGTGTATCTGTATAATTGTTGTACCCCAAATTTTGACCTAAGATACCATCTCCCATCTGCAGCATTGCATTGCAAGTGTTTTGACCTATTTTTTTAATCAATTTTTCAAAGCAGATTTAAAATTCATAACTTTTTCAAGTCAAGAGCTGTTTATTTTTGAACGCTAAATTTATTAACTGATTAATGCTTAAATGATGTTTATTTAATTATTTATTATTCTGAATTTAAATAATTGGAATTGATTTTCAGTTATTCTATAATTTAAAGAATTATAAATAATAAAGTAAATATCTGAAAAGAAGTTTATTAATTGATCAACAATGTTTATCAAATTATTTATTATTCTAAGTTTAAATAGTTGAAATTTTATTTTCAGTTATTATAATTTAGAGAATTATAAATAATGAAGTAAATAATTGAAGAGTTTATTAACTGATCAACAATGTTTTATTTAATTATTTGTCATTCTAAATTTAAATAGTTGAAATTTCATTTTTCAGTTATTATAATTTAGAGAATTATGAATAATGAAGTAAATAATTGAAGAGAAGTTTATTGATCAATGATGTTTATTTAATTG